TTTTCTTGATCCTCGTTTTAAACGTATAAGTTTCCTTTGTGATAAAATTACAATGTTTGAATTATTTATTTTTCTTTGACCATGAATAATTTTTGGAGAATTTGTACTTTTAACAAGTTTTAATATTGAACGAACAGGGTGGGTAATATTTTGTATTTTTATTTCTTTATGTTCTATTGGTTTAAACTGTACAGAGGAAGATAACTTTTTCATTAATTTTGGATTAACATGTACAGACTTCTGAATAGGGTTTTGGTTTTGTACAGAATTTTGTTTATTACTTGTTATACTTGCTGTATTTACAGAATTAGTTTGCACATTTTCATTAGAATTAATAACATTTTTCATCATTTTTGGATTAATATGCACCAGAGATTTCACATGCAATTTTGGATTGATATGTATTGCAGAATTCTGAGGTCTAAAATTTGGATTAATGTATACATTAGTACTTGTTAATTCATTGTGCAAAGTACTGTCAGGTGTTCTAGAAAATTGTTCAGATTTATGAAGTAAGTTTATATGTTTCTCTGATTTTGCAAGATTTAAATTCTGATTTGTAATAGGTTTCTCCATGTAGGGTAACTTGTCTAATGACTTTTTTTTATGATTTTCTATTAAACCTAAAATAAATAAGATGAATTAAAAAAAAAAATAAGACATCATAAAGATTAGAAATATGTAAAACAATATAAAATGTGTTTAGAATTAAAATTATTGTTCCACATTACTTGAACTTTATTAATTTTGAACGGTGCTATAAATGACTAGTCTTTTATATTAATATCACATTTAAAATAAATGATCATACATTTATTTTTATTTTAATTTTACAAAAAAAATGTTTCAAGTTTTACCATTGTGACTTTTTCTTGTTACTAAGATGTAATTACAATTAAAATTAAGCATAACTTTTAAACCAGCGTAATTTAAATAAATGAAAAACTATAAGTACATATATATGCTTTATGGATTAAAAATTATTACAAAAAGAAGTTTAAAATTAATAATATTTTTTTAAAATGATTCCTGCTTATACGGTACTGTTTCCTATGATTTCAGTTCTTCAACATTTTACATTAATGTTTATTATGTCACAATAATTAATGGAATGATATTTCAAATAATAACTAACATTTTTTCTTTGATTTATATATAAGTTTGATATTTTACGTGTACCAAATCTTTTGTTTGTAACAACGTTCAACATTGAAGTAATGCAAAATTATCAACTTACGCGTCAAATAATGTATTTCTCTTATTAAATTTTCATCCATATTTAATAGCACAAAACTTTATTCTTCAATTGCTTATCACGCAATAAAGAAAAGAAGAAAGATTAAAGATAATAACTTCGTATTAAAAGATATTTATTTCACAAACCACTTTACATTGATACTCGTCATGCTATTGTGTGGAAGTAAACTATTTAGAAACAGATGTCGCTTCTTGAAAAATTACGACACTAGCACTACACATGTACGATAAATGAACTATTATAGGTCAGTGGGAAATTTGAACTTGTATCTTTACGAGATCAGCACGTTCTTTTATTACACGATCAATTTATAATTATGAATGTTTATCACATCTGGATAAATTTTAAAAACGTGTTGAAGTTATAAATTTAAAACTAATATTTTCCATAAACTTAGAGTTTATATATTAAATAACATAAAGTGAATCATAATACTAGTATATAAAATTTATAATTAAGTAGACGAAACATTTAAAAAATGTATAATAGTCAATTGTTTCCAATACTTGCAAAAAAAATGAAAAGAAT